TGAGACGGTTCGGCTTGGATTGATCGTAAAGGGGAGGGGGGGGTGGGGGGCAGGGGGGGCCGGGGCAGGAGGGGGGGGGAGGGGGAATCGGCATAGGGTTCATAGGATGCATTCTACTGAAGCCGTCCAGCCCGGATCGTCCAGGCTAGCGAGTGCGGGTTTGTCCAGCGCCGCCGCGGATGCTTGTCTGGAGGCGGGCTCGCACCATGCGCAACTTACAGCACCTTGTGGCCGGCTGCGGGTATGGCGCGGGCTAGATTTCTAACCGGGACATGCACAAGCAATGGCAGCAGAACGACATCGAGTGGAGACGAGGCATTCGGAAAGCACTGCAGCCTCTGGCAACCCAATTGCCCTGAACATAGCCCGATTCGGAACTATCGAGTTGTGGTTCAGACATGTTTGGAGCATTAAGGGCCTCCAGTAAGGTCTTATTGAGCAAGTGCATGTCAAACGGACACCGGGCTCTTTTCACTCACGCCCTGTATCCATTTCCTGAGGAAACTCTATGTGGCCTCCGAGGATGTCGGTATTGAGAGCCTAGGCTATGAGGAAACCATCGTGCGACTTGGTAGTTGGTAGACTCATCCCCCATGTTTTGACCCTCTCCCTGTTCACACTTCGCCTTACCACCTTTCCACGTTGCAGCTCAAAGAGCTTTGCCCCATGCAGGCGGCAAAGATCTTTGCCCTCAGAAGATTCGTGCGGAGCTGAGACCGGTGCGGAAAGAAGGTAGGTAGAATTCCATCCAGAATGTGATCATCCAGGACTCTCATGTGCCCGGTTTGCGCCAACGCTCAGGCACAGCGCCACTACACTCACTAAAAGCTCATGAGTCAACAATCAAGGTCGGATGTGAAGTTCTGCGTGAGGAGGAGGGCGCATGGCAGAACCCATGTGAAAATCCAGACGGAAGTTAGCCCTGAGGCGCAAACTGAGGTACGTGAACCCCTTCATCTGAACCATGTATAAGCAAACGCCTCAGTCTCAGACCGATGTAGGCACCCGATAAATACGAGGCAGAGGGACAGACCACGGCGCTGTCCTCTGCAGTCGCGCTTCGCCAGGGTCCTGACTCACTGAATGTGCAGTCCATCTTTCAAGAATGGCTTTTGGGCTTCTCTTAGGGTTCATGGGGTTTGCGTGGAAATCTGTCCACGCGGAGGCCGTGCAGGTCTGCACGCCTCGAAATGAAGCCTTTATGCCGAAACCTACGAGTCTAAGAGTCTAAGAGCCATATTTTTTCAGCTCTTGCCGAGCCTTAACCCTGAATGCGCACATCACCAACAAGGATGGCACTTTTTGGTTGGCAGCGTTGATCTCCAGAATTTGAAGCACCGACCCCCGCGTCACCTCGAAGTCCTAGACTACCGAAAGCAAGCAGCGATCACCCCTCAACCCCTGAACCTGCGTACCCCCCACATGTCTTCAATCATGATACCCAAGCGTGGAATGGCTTTGAGGCCTCGTCCTGGGAGCCCATCCCGGCGCCTCCAGGCTGGTCCCGGTAATCTTAAAGGTTTGTGCTGCTTACGGGGTTGGGGGATTTGGTGGGGTTGAAGGTGGGTGCCTGTCCCCGATCGCCGTGTCACTCTTATTGTGAGAAATCACACCTTCTCGCTTCGGATTTTAATGGCGAAGTCGCCGGCGGTTCTTCGGGGCACTATGAAGTGACCCAGGACAAAGGCCGTGTGGTTCAGGGGTGTATAGGGCTGGATGCACGAGGGAAAGGCATCGGTTCTGCAATTGAACATGGATGCTGATTGTTTTGTCGGATCAGCGAGATGTGTGCGCCAAAGCATGTCAGCGTGAGAGCAAACCCCCCCTGCGCAAGAAACTGCGCTCCATTTTCGAGACATCCTGGAATAGCTGCTTGCACTTTTGTTTGACTGGTCATACTTTACAGTGCTTCAAAGTGGAATTCAATACATGCAGAAGAAGCTTCAACTTCAATTCCGCACTTTCAAAGTGGAGTCCACGAACCATTCCCTGCCCAGACAGGCTTAGACCAGATTAGCACTGATGCGAAGCGAATTCTTCGGCCAGGCTATTGGCGAAGCTGGCGGACAGCTTCGTGGCCCTCTGCTCGCAGGCGCCCCTGAAGCCGTCCGACGAGGCCGACGGGGTTCAACCAAGCCAAGTGCCTCCCGGATCGTACAGTTTACGGCAGGGCTTCGGGTTGCCTTGTAGCCTCTACGACATCTTCACAGCAATCCCCGTAGCCTAGTCTGTTCGTCTGCAATTAAAATAAGCTCTGAACCCGCAACTCTTGTGGTGGAAATGGGCGTGCGTGCGTGTGCATGTCGGCCCAGCGGAGTGGGGTACCGAAATAGGCTTCTAGAGTCTGGCATTTTAAGTTGTTCTGCAAGTCAAGCTTTAATCGAGCCTAAATCAAGCTGTCAGGAAGTATTGCCGTTCTTGACACAGCTGCAGTTTGCGGTGGAGGTGCTTGACCCAGTTTAGGCCTGTGACTGCAGGTGGCATTGCTAGCTACATTGTCATGTTGTGCAGAGAGCTGAACGGTTCCGCAGCGAATGCTAGTTTTACGAAAGTGGGAGCCAACGTCCTCGGCGATGTGCTTCTGTGCAATTCTTATATGCGCTGCTGCGTAGCAGCTAGGATGATATGTTGTGCAACAAACAGCCTCTACTACAGGCCCTATACTTCCCAACATCCTGCCTTTCTTGACCTGCCTGTCCTCTTGATCATTCCAAGTTCAATCCCTTCACTGTTGACTTCGTTTTCCGAAGTGCTTTGCAGTCTGTGTCCTGAAGCATTTCATGAGTCTAAACGGTTAACAACCGTTCAGTTTAGAACCCACAGAGACCTAACCCTGCACGTGAAGAACATGATCCGCCTTTGAGATTCGTTTGAGGACACCCCCCCAAAATCGGAAATCCCAAACCAGCTCGGACATGGCACCTGCGACCGATGTAGGGTTGAGGGCCTGGAAGCCCTTAAACCATGATGCTGAAGACCTTTTTTGTACCCTGTAGCCACTCTGGTAACCCCTAGACCATCTCTGTATGACTTCCGACGATCCTCCCCAGGCCCTACCAGCCCACCGCGGGGTGCAGTTCCTGGGCCTAGGCCCGCAGCCTTGTGGTCTCTCTTCGAGGGGGCGGATCCTGAAGGGCCCCCAAATCAAGCCAGAACTCCAAGCCCTCCCCAAGATTATATCTTATGATATACTCTATATTCATATATATATATATATATACATATGTATACATACATATACATGTATATATATATATATGTACATATATATGTGTATAATAAGCCCGAAGCCCGACAACCCTGGCTAAAGTTTTTTCCCGAGGCCTCTCCACACCGTCGGGAACGCTGCGGGAAGCTTTAACTGGAGAGGCCTGCTGGGGACGGAGGGGCGCTTTTTGAGCCTCACGCTTTACAGACTCAAAATTTCTGTGGATATGCTATGCAAACCTTGCGGGATGTCTCTTAAATCATTATTTCAAATCACACGGGATTCAACTCATGGCGCGCCAAATCCTTAACGGCTGCTGTCTCAAGCGTGGCCTTACACCATCTTCAAACCCTGCAGCTCTCAGCATCCCCAGCCTAAACCCGTTCCTTCATTCGTTAAAAACTCATTAGTAGTCCTAAATAACTCCTCGCGCACTTGAGCCTTAGGTCACCCTGATCACCTGAAGGCCCTCAAACCCAAAAACAATATGTCAAACACCACGATTTGGCAAACCCCCCAACGCTTTTACCTTGTAGGCCCTCTAGAACCATGTTCGGCCCTGAGCTCTGAACCCTCAAATTTAAACTCACCCTAAGCCCCTCAAACCCCTCAACTCTTCGGCCCCAGCGTTTAGACCTTCATTGGACAGCAGAAAATTCATTGTTATTCCTTCACGCTTCTTGCTTGGGGGCTAGGGTTGAGTTCCCCTGCAAGGAGTAAATTTGGTGAACGCACTCTACGCACAACATGTGAAGGTCTGTGTCATGCTGCGTCCTGGAACGTGGCAAGCTACTGGTGAACTCAACAGGAAAACGTGTCCAAGTGTGTCGCGGCGAGTTTTGGAATGCGGCACGTCGAGGGGAACACCACAGTGGGGGGGGAGGGGCAACCATGACCGCCCCAACAGGGAAGGGGGGGGGCGCCTGGCCATATTTACACCCCGTCGTTTTTGAAACTTTACAGCTCTTCTTCAGGTTTCATGTCAACTATATCTTTTGCATCGGATTCTCATTATTAAGTGTAATGCTGCACACCGCCCGCCTCGCCCTGCCCTTTGGTTGGCCGCAGTGGAGGCTCGTGCTTGATAGTTGCCGGTCCAGCGCATGGCCACAGGGGCTCAGCCATGTGCGGGTCTTTGCGCTGCTTGCTCCTGGGCCACAGCCTTTGGCTCGCAGGAGGCAGCCCGCTGAATGCCTTCAGCATCATTGGCAAGGGCTACAATGCTGCAGCGGCAGACATCCAGCGGTCTTACGAGTTGGGACAGGACCCTGGTGTGACCAACAACACCGTGATTCCTCTCACATACACGCTGCATGAGCAAATTGATGTGGAAGGACAGATGGTTGACATCCCTGATCAGTTCGTGGGCGGATCTGGATATTGCTACGTCGATGGCACGTGCAATACGTATGACGCCACCTCAGAGTACACACAGATGGCACCAGAGATCCAGAATAGGTCAGGGAGGGATGGTGGTGCTCTCAATCTCAGGGGTGCGTGGCAGAACCGGGATGCCACACTATGAGCATGCATTGGATGGAAGATTGGCTTTGGTCCTGGCGGGCTGCCTCCCAACTCGCAGCTCAATCCGCAGTTCATTGAAGATGTCAACCAACTCCCAGACATCCTGAGCTGAAGCCAAGAAGACTTCGAGGCCCTTAGCAAGTTTCAGAAGCGCTGGGGCACCCATGTCGTTTGGGCAGCAAGCCTTGGTGTGGCCCACTTGCAGATCACAGAGCAGCAAAGTAACCAGAACGTCAAAGACTTCTGGATTGGTACACCAAGCGGAGACATGCAGACCAGCCAAACCAGCAGCAACAAGTACTTCAGCCCAGGAGTGCTGCCGGAAGGCCTGAATCGAGTAGGAATGCCTTCGATCCTCATGTGGCTGGGAAAGGAGAGGCGGGCAGAGGTGTTCGCAGACTTTCTGAACCGGGTACCGAAACTGGCAAAGACCGAAGCAGAGTCGACCGTCCTGGGCCGTGGTTTTCACACGGTTCACGTGTACACCTACCACAGCTCCGACAGCCATCTGCTTGAGCTCATTGTTTGTGTTATTGTGTTTCCGCTTTCCATAACTGCCTGTGTTGTGCTTTGGGAATGCAAAAAGAAAAGGGACGAAGCGAAAGTTCAAAAGATTTTCGCAGAGCTCTATGAATTTCATCTTGCGCAAGAGCGGGCAGCAGAGAGGGGCGAGGCTGTCAGCCAAGCCCCCGAGCCAAATGCAGAGTCCGGTTCCGATGTGGTGCACTCAGTGCACTCAGTGCACGAACTCTGCCAGAAGTCGAAGTCCTCGCCTCTGCTCCACTGCGAGGCGGATTCATGCTCCGAGACTGAATCGGCTGAATCCAGCTCATCTGACGAGGGCGGTCCATTGAACTCCCATCAGGCGAAAGCATAGAGCTCACCTGGCCTGCAGTTTTGTGAGGCAAGAATGTGCTCACAAGTTTAAATCTGTACAGATGTTGGTCGTATTTTGGTCTTTCTTGTTGGCATGCGCATGTCAGCCGAAGCTGTTCAGCGCAAGGAAATGGTGCTGCTCAAAAGGTACCTCAAGAAGTCCATGCCAATTTCAAGCCGCGCGTCGCAAATATCTCCGAACAAGCCTGTGTTCCAGTTGTGCTCCAGGGCCCTGTCCATTATTAGTTGGGTCACCTCCGCTTTTTCAGGTCGAAGGCCTTGCGGCCTTGCATCCGGGCAGCCTACTCCTTTGGCGAGGCCCCAATCAAGTCGCCGCTCATCGGGTTCTTTGAAAGTGTGACTTCAGGGTTGTACATTCAGCATGGTGTTCAGGGTGTTCAGGGTGTCCAGGGCCTGAGGTGTTCTGGGGTGTTGTAGACCCTGTGAACTTCACCCGGCTCTCGAATGCACCTTTGAAAGGCTCCCCAAGGCACCCCCAAGGTCGATGCTTCGGGGTCGACGCTCCGCAGGCTGCACGTCCGTCACCTCCGACCCCATGCTGGCCAAGGAGGCCTACTGTAGCAGACAGGAAAATCAGCGCATCAGAGCGCGCGAAAAGGTCCTCACAGACGGCTTCTCTTCCCCTTCAAGACACTTGCTTCTGGCTTCCTAGGTTAAACCCTTTTCAGACAAATCTATAGGCTAAGGCCCGAGTCTCCGCAGCTCATCTGCACCTCTCCCCTCTGAAGCCACAAACCCTGAAGTCTCAGAGCTCGTCTGCGCCCACAGCTTTCGAAGCTCAGGCGGCGTTGGAGGGGAGCGTCGCGCTCGTTTTCAAGGTGCGGAAAAAGCATCGCCCGAGGCTCTTGAGGATCTTGATTTTGTTGACTTCTGGCTCGTCGACTTGGATTTGTGTCCGAGCCCCTTTTGAGTGAATGCGTATCCGGTGCCTTCTGGCATGCGTCATCCTGCACGGCATAGAACTGTGCGCTATGCCGTCACATGCCATCCCAAGCCACCTCAGCTTCTGTGCTTTGAAGAGCAGAGGAAGACCGTTGCCTCTCCCCAGACAAGAGTTGCAGCCAAATCTTGTCATGCTCATCCCTAAACTCCCACTCTTCGAACCTTCTTACCCACCCACCCCAAAAACAAGGACAGTACAGGCAGAACCCTGAGCGCAAGCTTCAATTCCCACCTTAAGTGCACCAAGCATATTAGCAAAGTGGCTCCTCACAAACCTTGGCACTGTGGCTTGGCAGGTGCGTAGCAGCTCCTCCCGGGACGTGGCAGCGTGCCCTTCGGGGGATCCCTGTTCCTGGTGCAGGGGTTAGCACGGCTTTGTCATGCATGATCCTTGCTTCAGCTATCCGGATGATGGTGCTCGGTATTGTCGCTTGCTTGATGATCCTCCCCTACAAAGCCCTAAGCCCTTGATCCAAATTTTATGGCTACTTATCACCTCCCAAAACAAACCCTACTTCAGACAACCCCTTAAATTAAAACACCCTCTCAACTTCTGTGAGCCCCTAAACCCCCAAACTTCCAGATGCCCAGACCTCGGCCTGGAGGTACTCGCCTTCGCCGGACCTGAGGGAACGGCTCCTGCCCCCGAGGCCAATGTCAGATGCCGCGGCTGGTGTGTCAGGGCTTGGGTTTGCATCTCTCGGGTTTGGGGTTGTAGGTCAAACATAGGGCCTATAGTGTAATTCGGGGTATCCTAACCTGCTTGCTTGTTGAGAGACGAGAAGCTCCAGTTTTGAGCCAGGTTGTGACACGGAAGTTATGCGTTGGGAAGTGCTCTCCGCACCTGCTAGCTTGTGAACTGCTTGTGAGTTTGGGCATGGACGTGTTTGATGACCCAGTCAGAATCGAACCCCTCACTTAAGCAGAGAGGAAGAGAGGAACGTGAAGTCCAACAAAGCACGACCTTTAAGAAATATGTGATATGGATTCTGGAAGGAGCATCACATAGACCACACACGCCATGAAGCATCGAGCCTCAACGACGAACCCCGCACCAGGCGGTGTTTCCGAGTCGTGGGGATCTTCGCCTTGGAGGTTTCGTTGATGGGGGGGAGAGGAGAAAGGGGGGATGGGAGGCCTTCTTCTTGAACATTCACAAAATTCAAAGGGAAACATTGTTCAGCATTTCGCCAGCTTCTTCTGAGTGCTTTCTGACACTGCATAGGGTTGAGGGACCACAACACGCTCTCTGGGCCATCGTGCGGAGCGTAGCTTGCGACCTTCACATTTCCATCTGGTGTTGCTGCATAGAGGTCTCCAAAAGCAGATGCTTTAGCAACAAGGAAAGGGGGTGTGAAGCGAATGACCTGACGAGCAAGGTTTCCCTTTTGACAGTGCTTGGAGGGGTCGTGAATCAAGTTGCCTTCGACATGAGAAGCCATCCCGTCATGTTAATTTACCGTCTCACGCCAGGATATGATTCTGCGAAGAGGAACATCCTCTTCAGGTGAGCTGCTGTTGTGGATATTGTTGGTAGGCTCTCCGGCCCATTTTGTTCTGCAAGTTTTATTGGCTTCCCTACCACATGCCGTGTATCCGTACATCCCCTAGGGACATGCTCACCTGTACCCGTAGGCATGCGTTCTTTCGGGAACGACTGCTCCAGTTCCCACTCCTATATTCTAGTGCATAGGGTTAGTGTCGTCGGATTCAAGTCTAACCAGATGGAGCCCCTCAAGGGGGCCCAGGACCCAACACATGGCTTCACGGCCATACCGCAACGCCTGTTGTCCCACACCCCAAGTCCTGAAGTCCGAACCCCGATACATCCGCAATCTCGAGGCTTCTACTACGAAATCTGCATGCCCGAAGTCCTGAAACCAAATGTGCCCAAACCTCCTGAGACCCGCTTCCTTTTAGGGAATGCCGGCGAGCTCCTTGAGGCTTTTGAGGCAGGGTTGATGATTGGAGCATAGGGGCCCTTCGTGGGCATCAGGTGGTTGAAGGTCGAGTTGAGGCCTGTGGAGCCTGTGTTGGGGTGTTAAGGTGGTTCAGGGTTTAGGGTTTCGGGTTTAGGGTTTAAGATCTCATTGGGGCTTGTGGGGGGCGGGGGGGTCCTTTTTCTGGCGGGTTTTGATGGTTTGGGATAGGAGCTCAGGGCATTTGATGGGGTGGGTTTAGGGAGCTTGAAGGCGCAGGGCCCTTTGCACACGGGAACCAACTATGGCTTTCGATTCAGCGGCTGCTCGTGCAACTTTAGGTCTTGCTGGAGGCTCCGAGCAGGATGTACCCTTCACGGATGGGGGTTGCTGATACGTTTGAAGCCGAGTAGGTCTTCCCAGAAGGGCGCAAGGTCCTTTGAGGAAGCGGAACAGCCATGAATTCAAGGCCCCAAATTCCATGCTCCAATTGATGTAAACTCTAAGTTGTACATAAGTCAGTATGGGTATTTCCCAACATAGGGGTACCCCTTTCAACCCCCAAGTAGTAAAGAATCCCCTTTAAGGGATCCAAACAAGGGTACCCCTATTTTCGGAAACCCCCATATTAACATGAGCCTCTTCCTTGGGCAGAGGTGCCCAACGTCGGGTCTCTCGGCTCCTTTGGGGCCTTGGCGTGGGAGGCGGGAAAAGCGCGAGAATAGCAACAGGAACAACAAATCGATAAGGTGGCCGCAGGAGAGGCTTTTTTGAGGGGAGTTTTGGCCTACTTTGGTGTAGTTACTATGGTGTGGACTTCCACAAAAGTTGGTGTACCGAACCGTTGCACTTTGTTTTGACAGAGTGTGTTATGCTTTGACGATGCACTCTCCCTGAATGTGGGGGGTATACAGACGGGAGGGTATCTGAAACTCAGTCATTCCAAAAAGACTCCATTGCGGTAGGGCTCCGGAGCCCCAACTGGACAGGAAGCCTGCACAAGGAAGGCAGCCTGCGTGGTGCTGGATGAGGATGAGCAGCCTCAGGCAGGTTTTGTTGGTCCCGGCGTTTCCAAACTTGGGGACTGCTTTACAACGTGGGAGGGGGAGGGGCAGCGATAAGGGAGACGAGGTTCCCGGAGAGGCCAAGACATTCTCACAAGACGTGGCAAGGTACGCTGTCGGCCGTTCTCTTTGCAAGGCGAATAGCCAGGAAGTGTCCTCAGCACGCAGGGTTACGCTCAGGTGACGTCTCTGGCGGCCAAAGCATGACAAGCTGTCAGACGACGGGACGCCCGGAAGCTTCATGAGTGAGATGGGAGAGCTGACCACAAATGCCTGCGTCGCCCAGTCAACGGAGTGACATGTTTACAGGCGACTACTACAGGTCCTAGCACAAGCATTCAGCACCATGTCGGATTCCCTTGGTTGCTCTTTGCCAGCGATGCGCGTTTTTGTTGTTGGCATCAGTCTCGCCGGACAGATTGAAGGGAGCTTCCCCACTCAAGTCCTTCCAATACCATGGACCATCAGGCAGAGGCGCGCAAAGTCGGCCTTTGCTCCTGACCGCAGCAGCATAAAGGATGACAGAGCAAATGCATTTTCACTGAAAGTGTGCTGCACGTGCCGTTGCGGGACGCGGTAGTTCCTCCGAGCAGCTGTACATATGTGCAGCAAGGAATCGATTTCCTACTCCGGCACGAGTGTTCCGTGAGACAAGCTTGGCTGCCGGAGACCAGAACAAGAGCGTTACTGTACGGTATGTCACAAGGCCCTTCCTGTGGCAGAGACAACGGAGCTATCAGTGAATGAAGACACATCTGGCGGCTTCTTCCTGCGAAATTTGTCTTTTCTGCTGTCTTTTGGGCTCCTATAGGTCTTAGACCGCAGCTTGGTGACTTGCCTCGGAGCAGGACTTTGGTGCCAGTGTTCTTGTGCAGGCGACAGGCCATTTTCCTTGTGGCTTCTGTGTCGTTCCATCGAAGGTTGATTTCCTCTTGCGTGGAGCCATGGCGCCGCGTTTGTTCGCCGCCATGTGCTGCGCTCTTTCCATTCTTGTCTCGGGCTCAGTCCATTGTTGACTCCAGGGTACAAGGAGCTTTGCTGCTGAGTCCCTACCTGGGTAGAGAGGAAGGCACCTTGCGGCTGAGCATAGGAGCATGTCTTCAGTGCCAGGCGGATGGAAAGCAGCCTATAAAGTAGATCCCAAGATTGGAAGACAGCCCCCCTTGGCCCTTGCCTGGAGCGTGAACCTTCATGGCGCTCAGGCGGCACTCTCTTGCTTCGGGGCCACGTCCTTGTCTTTTGTTGCTCCGCGGCCACCGCAGGCCCCTCGGGCAGCTCCAAAGTCACTTGGGCCACAGCCGTAACAACAGGAGAAAACTGAGGTTGCTCAAGTTTGACTCAGAATGCTCTGTTTTGGCAATGGTGTCATCTGAGTTCTGAAAGCTGTCCAGTCTACATTCATGAGCGTCCAATGGTTTGCTTTTCTTTGTGCTGTGCCCACATCAAGGAGCCAAGACAGGAACAACACGAACACTAATGAGACTGCTTGTTCTTGAGAAAGCTCTTCTTCTTGGGCTGAAGTAGTGACAGACATTGACATTGATCTTGATGATACTGATCATCCTCGTCATCATCGTCATCGTCATCCTCAGTCTTCGTGGCGTTCTCGAGCTTTTGGTAACTGCAAAGACCAGTTGGGCCCAAATCCGGCAGTTGGGCCCAAGAGACCCCAAGGCCGCAGGCTAAGTCCCAGGGCCTCCTTCACGTGTTCTCCTTGAGACTGTGTTCGACTGACACCCTGACATGTCAAAGCTGCGAATGCCAGGGTCGCAACAGCGGCCCTTGGCACTCTGCTTCTACCTTGACAGAGGCCGGGGAACCTTGCATCCCCAGAGGTTTGAGGTCCCCTTTTTAGCGAGGATGGGCAGAGAGACCCATCAGCGCGCAAGTCCTCCTCTCTAGAGTTGCTTCATGCGGTTTCGTTCAAGGAGTTTCTGTCATTGATCAGTGTTGCAGTAAGGTTCAGACGCGGCCCATGCAGCAAGCAACTTGCCCCCAACCACCTTGTGGTTGCCAAGCCTATACTGTAACATCCTAAAGCCCGACCTTTTCACTGCCGAGACGGGTTGGTGTTCTGAATCCAGCCCCAAAAGTCTACGTGCGCAGGGGCTTGGCACGTCTCCAGCCTTTGAAGATGGGTCCTCTCAGCCGCGGTGGGCTGTGGACGCCTGGCTTAGAGGGTTTACAAGCATTTTCGGCGTCCGCTCAGGACTTTTGACAGGGGCATTCGGAGTTCCTGGAGATTTTCGGAGCATTCTCAGAACGGAGCTAAAATCTAGAGAACCCCCCCCCTCCCCCCACGTGCAAAAGTGCACTTTTCTAGCGTGTCCGTTGCGATGCCCGGTCTGACAACGCTTTCCATCGTCAGGGTGCAGGGGGTTTTGGCGTTTCGCAGTAGGCTTTTGGATTTGGGTGTGTTGTCAAGACCACCGCTACGCCCAAACCTCAACCACTGTACTACCATGCAAGCCTAACATGTGTAAATGTGTTGCTCGCAAGATAACATGTTCTTTTACTTTTGGTGCGTTTGTAGTTGAATTTGTAACACGTTGCTCCTTTTAGCACGCTGCTTTGCTGTGTAAGGTAAGGTAATGTAAAGTAGTGCAGTGTAGGGTATAGTTTGCATTTGTTTATGTGTGCCTGCGAGGGCGTGTTTTCGCATACGCCTCCTTGCATCCCGTCGGTCTAGGCCGCTGCCACAGCCATGGCGGCCTTGGCCATGCGAAAGTACAGCAGAGTGGCGCGGGCAGCCGAAGCAAAGGCGGCTTGAGTTAAACATCGAGGAGAAGTTGAAGGAATAGTAACAAACTGAAATAATAATCATCACAGCATTAACCACAAGCATAGTAAGAAATAATAGCAACGGCAACAAAGAATGGCAATAACAACAGGTATGTTGGGTGCAGGGCTGCATGAAGATGCCTTGTCAGGGCTGCAGACTTGGATTGGGGTCCTTCGGGCTGCAGGTTTCAGAGTTAGCTTTTGCCTGGAACACCCTTTGAGAAGGCTGCCCCGCTGAAGTCTTGTGCTCCGAGTGTGGGAGGTCCTCGGAAAGCACCGAACCAAAGCTCGATCGATGGCCAGGCAAAAAAGCAGCCGCTTCGTGACATGACGGCACCAGAGACTGCGGATGCCATTCGTGAGGAGCTCGCCCGCAGATGGGGATTTTGCGGTGTGGTGGGGCCGTTCATTTGCTCATTGAGGATCTGGAAATCATGGAAGACCTATGTATGCAATTCGGGGGGGGGGGGGGGGGGGGTTGGAAGCTCTCCCAGACACGGCTCAACCTCCCCTGCATCACCTTTCTAAGCGAGGATCGCAAGAAGGGCGCCAAACGAGTGCGTGGAGGAAGCAAAGGGCAGAGGCTTGGATTGCTTGCAATGTTGAGCTTCGCCCATCTTCGCCCTGTTTGGCTTATCGGGCTAGTGCGGCTGGTCATGGCCTGTCAGTGTACTGTATGTCTGTCCAACAACATGTCCCCCATTACGATGTAGTTTTGTGCACGCTCCCGGCATTCTCACGAAACCAGTCCCCCATTACGATGTAGTTTTGTGCACGCTCCCGGCATTCTCACGAAACCAGGAGTGCGCGCGCGTCCGTGGGTGAGTGGGTGTGTGGGGTGTGGGTGTGGGTGTGGGTGTGGGTGTGGGTGTGTGGGTGTGTGGGTGTCTGTGTGTCTGTGTGTCTGTGTGTCTGTGTGTCTGTGTGTCTGTGTGTCTGTGTGTCTGTGTGTCTGTGTGTCTCTGTGTCTCTGTGTCTCTGTGTCTCTGTGTGTGTGTGTGTGTGTGGGTGTGTGGGTGTGTGGGTGTGTGGGTGTGTGGGTGTGGGTGTGGGTGTGGGTGTGGGTGTGGGTGTGGGTGTGGGTGTGGGTGTGGGTGTGGGTGTGGGTGCGTGCGTGCGTGCGTGCGTGTGTGCGTGCGTGCGTGTTTGCATGCGTGCGTGCGTGCGTGCGTGCGTGCGTGCGTGCGTGCGTGCGTGCGTGCGTGTGTGCATGCGTGCGTGTGTGTTTGCATGCGTGTGTGTTTGCGTGCGGGCGTGCGGGCAGGCGGGCGGGCGTGCGTGTCCGCGCGCGCGCGCTCGTGTTTCTTTCGCTGGCGCCCAACAATGTCTCAGTAAGGTGGGTAGATGCAAAGCAACGTTTTCCTGGCCTTATAGGCGTGTCTGAAGCCAAGAATCTTTTGCAAACAGGTTCTTCAGCGTCCGCAACCGCAAGTTCTGGAACTTCACCAACTGGCCCTGGTCTCAGACAGCTCGGGTTTGGGGCAGCAGGGCTTGGGGCATCAGTACAGTCTTGCCATTGACTTGCATGACACTGCATGGAGTATGGACTTCAGGGTGTTGCAGAAATTCGGCGTGGGTCCGCGTATTCGGAGGCTTGAAGACTGATGACTTGCACTGTTCTCATTGGGCTGGAAGACCAGTAGGCTGAGACAAAGGGCGCGACTCGCATTATCACTGTCGTTGTTGTCGCCTCCCTTGCGCTCATGCACTGCATTCACACGACGTGCTTGAAGATGCTCGAAGGCCTAGCCGAAGGAAGTAAGTAGTCCTTGCCATCTCGCATCAAAGACTACTACGCGACATCGCAAAAACCTTGAGTAGAACTGCACAGACTTGCAGTAGCAATGAAAACTATACCAACAAGGGGATGTCCTGTCAAGGCCGCGCACATATTGGGCCCGCAAGTGGGAGAAGAAGGTGGCCTGCTCACGGCGATGTCCCGTGCCAATCACGGTCCTCAACCCTGATTTGGGTCCTGTTGTCCTGCTGTATGGTACAAGTACCCGTCTTATCGGGCCGAGTTTCATCGGCACAGGGCTGAGCTTGCGGACTTCGGTAAGATTGGTATCACGCAGTCGAGACATCACACTAGAGATGTTGGAGTCCTTTTAAGGGGCTCATGGTTCCATACGCCCACAATTTTCAGAAACCGCTCGAAGCCCCCGAGCTCACCACTAAAGACAATCGGTGACATCCTTTCGCCGCCGTCCTTTTGAGAGCTGTGGATAGAAAGGGTCCGTTTCTACACCCGCAGGACTTCTTCTATGCCGCCATCTTCGGCAACTGCGCCGCAGTTCTTGCTAAGTCATGATTCAGGTTTAGGGGCCAAGGGGCTTCCGGTACAAGTGAGCAGTTCAGGGCTGATTCGGGAGGCCCTGACGTGCAGAGATGACAAGTTAAAAGCTTTGCTCCGCGTTGAGGTTTGGAGGGCAAGACTCAGACTACAGTGCTCTTATGTGCTCTTCACATCCTTCACATCCCCAACCCTCAGCTGGGTGCACTGAGGTCTGATCCATGCAGGCGGGACGGGGGGCTACTACTGGTCTGCTATTAAGGAACTTGCGAGCCACATGAACAAAGCATTATGACTGTGCCACTGTATGCCAAGACTTGTAATTCATATCTGTACTTAGAGTTCCGATTAACGGCAGACAGGTGTCGTGCAGCTTGCGGTCCAGCATTGTGTGATCCCTTTTGGGGGGGGTGCCTGTTGCAGTACGCTCCCTTGTGAAGTGTGCCCTTCAAGTAGAAGGGAAACTTCGGTGGGATTGGCGCAGCTCTCTGAACTCCACAACTGTCCACAAAGATTTGGAGACAGTCATCAAGCGAGTTCCTGGAACCAGCAACCGGATGAAGTCCTCGACTAGGTCCTCTTATTTCGGTCTCATTAGGTCCGAAGGCCGAAGCCCAACGCTCGCGCTTCAGGAGCCTGCCTCGCACCGTTCCACTTCACGTGGAAGGCCTTTGCGTGCTTCTTCTTCGGCTATGCCGCTCTCCTGCACGTCGCTGCAACATCGTGCGCGTGAGTACTGGAGTGGAATAGGATGTGCTCATACTCTCCGTGATGCTGCTATCTTCCTGGCTGACCTGGCTGCGTCTCAGGTCCTCACGGGAATGTTTGGTATCACACTGTCGTACCATCGACAGCTCGCCCACCTCTCCTTCAAGAGCCCCAAGGCGACTTGACAATCTGCAACGTTGCTGAGGTTCAGAAAGCAATGCACCGTCATGCACCCCAAAAAATATACTCAAACCACATACACCTGTACAGCCTTGCTGCTGAGATCGTGGAGTACTTCCTTGCCTACTGTGGCTGTCTGGCGGTGCAGAGCCACCCCATCAACTGGGTGCCTTAGCTATCTGAAGTTCCAAACCTCTGCCTAAGAAGCCACGAGACTCAATTTTCAAAGGTACTCACGGTGAACTGATGGTCAGCTGAACCTACGGCTCACTAAGCTTGTAAGCAGAATGCACACAAGCTGCTGTGGGCGCAACCATTCAAGGTGTCCTCGCACCGCCATCATCATGGGGCAACGGTGCCTCAGCTTCGCACTTCGGATTCTCTTCTGGTTCAACGCTTCTTTCTGGACATGAAATTAATCGCTTCCACGTTAAGTACACCTGCCCATGCAGTTCTCCATACGCCAGGAGTCCCCGGTCGGGTTGGGGTCGTCACTCAGAATGGCCATACAGAGTTACAAGCTTCGACAGGACACGGCCAACGATGTCCACTCCCCCAAAGATGGCTTCTGGTGGGCCCATGCCGGCTGGCTGCTGGACCAGAAGGCACAAGCTGTCAAGTTGGAGCCTCTTTCGGTCATGTGATCTTTCTTGTTCATGTTCAGAAGCCTGTCTATGCTCTCTCTCTCTCTCTCTCTCTCTCTCTCTGTCCCTCTGTCACGCACTCAGTCAGTCAGTCTGTCAGCTAGACGACAGAGTGTGAGTGAGTGAATGAGTGAATGAGTGTTTTCTTTGGCTTCCTCAGACACGGGCTGAACAGGGCACATGGATGAGGGTGGACCGTTCCAACGCCGATGACCTGAACAAGCAGCAGCCAAGCAGCAACTGGCACGAGTCATCACCACTGCAAGTTGAGATTCCTGAGCTCTTACAGACCCTCATACATGTCATGTGTACATGTTTGTTTGGGTGCAGGCTTTGGATTTAGGACTTGAGATCAATGCCTCATTTTTTGTTTCGAAGGGGAAAGTTCCACTCAGGTCCAGTCTGATTCCTTGTCGTGCAGTGACGAGTTTCTTTCTCTTTCTACAGCTTCTACTGGCTCATACTACTGTATGGCTTATATTATGGCTTATACTAGGTGAGTTGTACAGCAAGGTGGTTTTATCGCTTCCTGGCGAAGACCTATCCCATCCATGCGCGGGCCCTCAGCACGAGGGTTTTCCAGGGTTTGAGCTGGTGCAGGAGGGGCCAAGAACCGAGTCATATCCAAAGAAGCAACTATCTATACTTCCACTTATTCATCTTATTCTTGAGTTCTGTCCAGTCTTTGGGGCCAGCACATGCTACTTGTTTTTTGTATCGAATCGAGGGCCGCAAGGCCTAGAGAGGCCTTGGAGAAGCCCGAGAGGCTTCGGAGCCTCTCCCGGCCTTTCCAGGCCTCTACATGCGTGTGGGGCCTTTCTGAGAGGAGGGCCAGAAGAGCTGATGATGAAGAAAGACTGGGATAAAGGAAGAGTCCGACCCGACTCTTGCAACAAGCCCTATACCCAAGCCTTAGTCTTGAGAAGAGGCTAGTTCCTGCCCCGATCGAAGATTTGGCGACGTCATGCTCTATTCTGCATTCCAAGGTTTTTGTTCCAAGAAGCGCGACCCGAAACAAAAAGTCGCATCGTGATAGGGCTCGGGGCTTTTTTGGGGTTCAGCGTTGAGGGCTTAGGGCCCAAGAGCAGCACAAGCTGAAAGACGAAAGTCCAGGCCCTCGTCCTTCCCATCGTCGGGCTCTACCTCTTTGGTGGCCTCCCTTGTGCCCGGTGGCCCAGGAATACGTGGCAGCGAGAGCAGGCAGAGTAGGACTCAAACGGAAACATATTCAAAGACTTTGCACCTGTGATTCTATACCTGATGCAAGTGACTTACTGAGTCAGACTATGCAAAAAGCCCATAATGTGCTCGTTCGACCAGGTTCCGAGGTCGTGGCACAT